TCTTTTCTCTGAGCGAGGGTGTGTATTAATTATATGAACAGTCACAGGGGTCTTTCCTCACATTTTGAGATTAGGGCAGATTCCGGAGTGGACACACTGGGCATAATAACTGCAGATGGGCTGAGTAACCGAGAGTGGCTCGTCCTGGAGCAAGCACATTGTGTGTGTGAACAACGAAGGAAAGGAGACGACTGGTAGGACTGGGAACGCCTTCTCCGTGTCGGCTGTTTACTATGCCTTGTGTGTCTAGCAAAGTGTGAGATGTGGTCTCTGTCCCCAGCACATTTTCAGTCTGGGAGGCACAAGGCAAACATGTGAATGTCAGTGAACAAGACAAAATATGCTACTCGTTATCCCCTGATAGAACCAGCATGACCCTAAAATGTATACAGAACTTGAAATTAGGGGGAAATTATTTGACTGACAAAAAAATTCTTCTAAACAAAATGACCTTCCTAATATATTTAAGTCTATTTACAGCTATTGTTTGTTTGTTTTTGCTTATTCTTCATCCACAAAATATAAAGGTGAAGTGATTGAAACTACTATTGGAAAAGCATCAGGAAATAACACGAATCCTGTCTAAAATTGTAATGTGAATCAGTTAAAATTGGTTCCATTTACAGAAGTTAGCATGCTAGCCTCCCCCTCTTTTTCTGAGCACCCCACCACACAGCGTGTCGTGTGCCTTCTGTGCTGTAAAAACACCACTGAGGGAGACGCTGCTCTCATTCCGCGTCGGAGCAGGACACACAGGGTTTATTTTAACAGAACCTGGAAACGGGGAATCAGCTGTGAAGCGGACTGAATTCCAAATTCTTCTGGCCCTCCTGTCATCCTGCCCTCTGCTGGAAGCTTTCTCTGGAGCCAGAGCAGCGGGAGACAAAGGGCTGCGGGGGTCCTCCTGCCTCAGCCCCTCCCAGAACTCACAGTGGCCCTGACAGAAAGCACCAATGATAGTGAGCTTGCATTTTGGCTGGAATTGCAGCAAGACTTATTAACAGTTTTCAGAAGTTAATGTTTTATTAAAAAGCAGTTACAGTTTATATGAATCAATTCTAATACCTATTCAGTATGCTTCAAACATTCCTTCTTTAAGATCCAGTGAATTTTTCGTATTGTTTTATTGTTTTGTTTCAACTATTCCCCTAAATTATCCCAATTGTAAAAATAAGAGAATGGATTTTTCTCCCTATATGTATAATGTTAACATTATAAAAATAATTCACATGTTTCATGCAGTATAATTATAAAATAGGAATAATAAAAAACCCACCTGTATTAGAATTAATTATTACTTGGTAACATATCTTCAATTAATTATTACTTGGTAACATATCTTCAGATTTTTATATATGAATACACATTCATATTTTATTTAAAATTCTTCATATTTAATACTGTTTTGCAATCTGCTTTTTTATTTAATATGCCCTGAACTTCTTTTTATGCTAATAGATGTGCATATATAAAATCATTTTAAAATGGATGCATACCATTCATATGTCGGGCTCTACCACAGTTTACTCAGTCATTGCCCAGTTGTTAGTCTATTTCCAGCCATTATAAATAAATTTACATACATCTTTCCTTACTTGTCTGATCACTACCTAGCATAAATTTCTAGATGTGGACTTACTAAAGCTTTGAGCCCATAATGCTAAAGGATCCTCCCGAAAGATGGTGGGACTACTGCTCAGTAGTCTGAGGAGTCCTGTTCCCTGTACACACACACACGCACACACACACACGCACACACACACACGCACACACACACACACGCACACACGCACACATGCGCGCGCGCACACCAGGCACACACAAACACCCCCCACCCCATGTATGATCTTATCATTTTGATTCATCTTTGTCAGTTCTTTTTCCTTCATCTGCCAGTTTTAGGACCATTGCTACACTGTTTTGAGTGTTGATTTTATAAAATGTTTTACTGTCTGAAAGGGCAAATCCACACACATACCCCAAATTGCTTAGTTAAAAAAAAATTTCTTCTCACATATTTTGAAGTGCATTTATAGCATTTTAGAAGTTCTAGAAATAATTTCTGTGAGATATTCTTTGGACTTACATTAAAATCATAGGTTAACATAGGACTTGAGCTCTTCAGTGAGAATTTTAAGTCTTATTATCCAGGAATATAATGTATCTTTCTGTTTATTTCGGTCTTCTTTTACATCCCTCAGTAAACTATTTTTGTTTTTGTCATATAGCCAGTACATGCACATCTGCTTTTGTTCATCATTAAGTTGTAGAGCTGCGGACTGGCCCTTGTTTACAGTTTTGATTGCATCCCCTGAAGTTTCAGTTTGTCGTGTTTGTTTTCCGATTCTCGGAGTGCTCTGGTTGCGGTCTCATTTCCTCGTTCACTCAAGGATAGAGAATATCTTTTTTTTTTTTTTTTTACAGTTATTTATTTTTTTGTTTTTTTTTCTAGTCCTTTGTTACTGATTTCTGGCCTAATTTTGTTGTCACAGGAGAACAAAAAGAATTATTTTTAAAGTTCTCTATTTTATGACTGCCTCACTGCTGTGAAGTCAGGAGTGGAATATTTCTCTCATCCTCTAGATAAGTCCTATTGTTTTCAAATACTACATTTTTCCATATTGCTAGTGTTTTGTTGTTGTTGTTGTTGTTGTTAGTTCATGTTTACTGGGAGAAGTCTGTATACAGTATTCACAGTTGAAGTTGCTGTGAATTTCTCAGAGATTTTGTGAAAATTTGTCCAAATCTTTATTCTGAACAAAGGTGGGAAAAGGACGTGGTATGTGTTCCTTTTTGCCTGAATTGGAACACAATTGTCTGTTGGAAAGATGGCTTCCAAAAAATGTAATCATTGGTGCAGCAGGGAAGTGCTGTGCTTTTTGTGAAAGCCTGCTTCTGTATTTGCTATGGCAGTTTTAGGTGTGTGCAGGTACTGTACTGCCCACCTCTCCTAACTGCTCGACTGCCTATGCCTGCTTCTTTTCCAAACTGTGTCACCACGTGATTGTGGGAGTGCTGACCAAAGCCTGTGTGACCCTGCTAGCGGTTCTCCCTGTGACTGCCCTCACCTCCAGCCCCCACTGCACTGAGCCTGGGGGGAGTTTGGCATATCTACCCAGCCAGCGACTCCCCGGGTGGGCTTTTTCTTGTAGTGAGTTGAATCGTGGTCTTCACTGGGGTCTTATTTCTATCATATTTAATAGAGTTTTTAGTTTAAAATTTGAGCCGTCTTTAATTTCTTGCACAGGTACAGATTGTTCCCTTTAATACTGGGTCAGTCCTCTGTCAGTGGGAACTGGTGAGGGAGAGGGACTTGATGCCCACCCTACCTCACTTTCCCCCTGGCCGCCCACTCCTGTCCCCTCCAGTCCCCTCCAGCAGGGGCTGTGGAGCCTGCCTGGGCCCTGGGCCAGTCACCTCCACCTGATCCAGGCCACAGATGGCAGCCTAGCATTTTAATCCTATCAGTTCCTTCTGTTTAAACACAATTGTTTTGAGCTACCTGTCGTTAGTGTCATGTGTAGCAGGATCTATCCTCTCATTCTTTCTCCTCCTTTCCCTAATTTCAAACCTATCCTGTCACAAAATACTGAGTACATTCCATGACCTCCTTGGCTCTTCAGGAGAGGCTGAGTCACAGGACGGACCTAAGGGCCTCTGACTGGAGGCAGGAGACACAGTGGTGGTGGTTTCTTACTTAGAACCTGGGCTGAGAGGGGACGAGATGGTCAAAAGGTCTCTGAGAGAGCAGAGGAGCCCCCTGCGTGTGCCCTGTCACTGACGGGAAGACAGCATCCGCGGGATCAGGAAAGCCCTGTCCCCAGTCTCCACTGTGCGCTGTGTAAGGCCGGCTTCCTTTCCCCTGGATAATGGAGAGCTTCAGACACTTGCGGCATTTAAAAGTGACCAAACTCCGCTTATTTGGGAAGATGGACACTTGCTTAATTTTAGGGGTTAAAAAAATTTTTTTTTGTTGTGCCCCTTTTGATTATAGAAGCCTAACTAAAAAATACAAGTAAAATGTGAATTTACTCTCTTTGTCCTATTACTTACATTCTCCCCTTTGTTTGGGGTGGGAAGGGACACAGCTTATATTAAGGTAAATTGAAATTGACTCTGATGATAGGAATTTTGAAAATTCTATTATGGAATCTGTTGTCATCATTTGCTTTTAAATGATAAATGTGTTCAGGATTACATGTCTGAAGTTACAAGCTATACATTGTATAATTATATCTTGTACATGTTAAGTTATATATTGTATAAATGTCTTTTCTTAAAGGGTTTAAATTGGTATATCAAGAAAAAGGTATATTATTGTAGCCTTAATAATGCATGAATTACTAGAACTACATCTTCACCAGTCTTAGAGGTTTTGACCAGTTATATTTGATAATAAATTTTATCCAGCAGATTTTTTATTATGGATTCTTCCCTATGAAGTAAAGACCCTAGCTACCCTCAACTTTTTAAAGAAGTTTAATCCTAAAGCAAATTTCTCTTATAACATGGATTACTACTCAAATGTCATTGTTAAATTATTTTTCTTGCATTGAAGGAAAAACAGACTGCTTCTAACTATTGTTGCTTAATCTTGTAACTAGTATCTTACTTTCATGGAAAAATGTATGAGGTTTTTGATTTCCTGGTTTATAAAATAAATTAAATCCTAGGCAATCAGTTGAAGAACATTTTGTGATACAAACCTTTTGACTGACTAATGGGCATTATTGTCCATGAATGTTGGTATTTTGGTGCCATCTTGTGGCTTGACTTTACAGTAACTTTTGCACTGAAGTACATTTTAAACAATGTCCTGGGCAGCATAAAATGTAGTGGGAATTCTTTCCAAGGTGCAAATTATGTACCACTATAAGTTTGCATAAAAAATACTGAGCATAACTTGTCATGTGGTCAGTGGCCAGGCAGAAATTGTAAGCAAGGACAGTAACATGTGCTTCTCAGTGTCTGAAATTCTGTTTTATGGTATGTGTCCCTAGTTACTGCTGTTTGAACGGTCCTGGATGAGCAGATGGAAGTCTTCCGTCCTGCACGAAGGGGAGGGGCACATAAGGAGCGTGAAGTGGAGGGGCCATCTGATTGCCTGGGCCAATAACATGGTAAAGTGGTCTCCATCCTCCCATTGCTTCTTTAGGGCCAAAAGAGTGGCCGCACTGAGAGGGCTGTTACAAAGGAAAGGGTGCCACTTGCTGCGGTCATTTCTACAAGTTACAAATGGCAATTGATATCATACCTGGAAGGTTAAAGAAATTAGATTGCTCTTGGCTTTCATAATAGCATCATTCCCAAAATATTCTGGACTCTATTTTAGAGGAAGAAACCCGAGGCATCGAGAATAGCCAAGAAAATGAAAAGGCATCTTAATAATTGAAGGGCTGCACTGGGAAAAGTACCATTTGCCTATTAGCCAAAGGCAAGTAGCATCGATATGAAACAGGTGCAGGATATTGCTGATTTCATTTTTACTCCCAGTATAATCACAGGCAAAAAATAGGCCTGCCTTTTAAAAAGCAGGTCATAATTTTTGGTACTCGACTTACTTAAAATTTACTCAATCTGAGTTAGAGTGAGGAGAAAGTTTAAAAATTGTCCTTTTGATAATTGGCGTATCTTTTGGAATTTCACGGTATAACTTAGTAAATTTGTTCTGTTCCATTTTAAATGGTAGAAATCTCCCAGAATCTGCCTGTTATTCAGGACTTTTCTTACTTTTCCTGGGTTATGAACGTGTGGTAAACGAACGTGTGGACCCTTGGTTTATTTTTTGTTAGCTGCTTGCTTGGTGTTTCCATTTGCAAACTTTAAATGTCTGTTGTATAATAGTTTTCTTTACCCGGTAGATTTTCAGTTTAAACTGTTTCTCAGAAACAAACTTCATTTTTGTAGGGGAACGATGCAATTAGAAATGTTAACTTCTGTTACTAAGTTGTCGTTTTGGAAACGCAGTTGGTTGACATCTATACATTTCACATTTGTGTTGCATTTGAGCCACTGATACAATCCACCAATAAAATCTCTCTTGTCCCGAAAGAGGCATAGAAGTTTGCCTTGTTGGCGTCCTCACGGGTTTGTGTGAAGTAGGAGCAGTTTCCTCTGTGTGGCTCCCAACAGGACTCAGGAAACACCGACAGTGTTTGGCAGGGCTGGTTTCAGTGCTGTGTAGTGGTAGCTGTTAATAAATTTTCCTTTACTTGTCTTCTCCTGAGTAGAGGATGCTTAATGCTGTTTTATTTTCCAGGGTGTGAAGATTTTTGACATCACCTCAAGGCAAAGAATCACCAATGTGCCCCGGGATGACATAAGTCTTCGCCCAGATATGTATCCCTGCAGCCTCTGCTGGAAGGACAGCGTAACACTCATCATCGGCTGGGGAACATCTGTCAAGGTGCTTTTGCTTGTCTTTATAATAAGTCCATGTTGTTATAGATCCACTGAGGATAGGCCAAAGGAACCTGACTTCTGAATGGCTTCTTGGAATCAAAATATTTTCATTTGAGTATTATTGTCATGTGATAGTATCTATTTGTTCCATCAGTTGCAAACAGGCGAGTTAAAATCTCTTATAAAATTGGCTATTTCTCTGTAGAATTCTGTAAGTTTTTCCTTCATATTTTTTTGGAGCACTCTTACTAGATTTGCACATATTTAAGATTATTATATGTTTATGAAGAATTAAGCATGTTTCATCATTATCAAGTGTCCCTCTTTATCTCTGGAAATACTCTTTTTCTTCAATGTTAAAATTCTTTCAGATGCATATGTTTTAAGATACAGCCTTTCTTTTCCATGCCATGCAAAACAAATCGTGAGCTCTTCTGTTTTCAGAATGGTGCTGCCTTTTTAAAATCTTTTTTAAATTTCCCATAACCCAATTGGCCTTGGCTCTTTATAGAACACTTGGTTAGTTTTATTGTGTCATCAGGTTTTCCTTTCTCCGTTGTTCTGTTTCTCTTAGCTTTGACCCTTAGTTTCTTCATTAGAGATGATGGCAGAAAAAGAGGGATAAAACGAAATCATCCTTCTTGCTTGGTAATAATATGATGGAGTAGAGGCTCAGACTTACTATTGATAAGACTTGGGACTGTTTTGTGGCGTATGACTGTCCTTTATGTGCGTGAGTAAGTGAAATTTAGCTATTCTACAAAAGAGGACCAAAGCTCATTCACATTTATTTAATGCATAGCAGTGCTTGTCCTACATTAGATACTTCACAGCCAAAATTGGTTTGCTTCCCTTTAAAAATATATAGCTTAACCTAAACAAAATAAACTAAAAATTAGTTGAGGTGAAAGTAGTGTTAGAAGGTATCATGGTAGTGGTCTAATGGGAGAGCTCAGGCTGTGGAGTCACACAGACTTGAGGTCAATTCCAGCTTCTCTGTTCACTTCCTGTGTGACCCTAAGGCTTACTCTCCTCATCCCCAAAATGGGGGTACTAATCACTCTCACATAAGTTTTGTGGGGGACTAAATGAGGTGATGTACATGAAGAGCTTAGCATGTAATCCGACATATTGTGCTTAATAAATATTAGCTGTCATTATTATATCATGAAAGAGACATGGCTACTTAAAATTTACTCCTCTCCGGAAAAGGAAAGCATGAAAATCACTAGTGCACTGTCTCTTATGGCCAAAACAAGCATAGTTAGCTTAGGGTTAGGCCCTCCTGGCCCATAGGTTGATAGAATTCAGGTTCTCATTTCTTTTTTTCCTAATCGTGGATGTGCTTGTTGTTTTCGTGGGTTAAAAGAACGTAGCCCGACTCACATTAATGACGACAGGAAGGAAGTTGTGCCCGAAAGTCTGGAATAAAAAAAAAGTGACCCTCAGGCTCCTTATCCCATGTGTGTGGTTACTCATCCAATAAACTTAAGTTCTTGATATTTTTTAAATCCCTTAAATGAACCAAGTGGCTTTACTCTTTGTTTTAAAGTTGTGATTTTCTTGTTTTGGTGAAAGACAGGGAAAATTAGCCTATAGGGACATGTAAGAAGTTTAGTGGTTACTACCAGAAATGCTTTCTCTATCGGGCTGCATAATGACCCCCAAAGAAAGCAAGTCCTAATTGCTGCTACCTGTAAACATTTCTTTATATGTCAAAAGATGTGACTCACTAAGGATCTTGAGATGAGGCGATCATTCTGGGCGGGCCCTAAGTGCAGTCACACGTGTCCTAACAGAGGGAGTGCCACCACCACAGGGGAGGCATTGTCACCACGGAGGTGGCCACCAGGAGACAGAGGAGGCAGGATTCTAGGTTCTCCCTAGAGCCTCTGGGAGGAGTGCAGTGCGGGCCTAACCACACCTTGATTTGGCCCAGTGACACTGATTTCAGACTTTTCTGGTCTGCAGAGCTATGAAAGAATAAATTTCTGTTGTTTTAAGCCCCCAAGTTTGTGGTAATCTATTACAGAAGCCACAGGAACTAATGAATTTTGTGTCCAGATTACAATCCAACTCATGCTTTTTCATGTCAAATGTTTCATTTTATCGGAGAGTCCTCTTCTTCAGACTCATTTGGTAATATTCTGAGCCACTTCTCAGTGGAGAATCTTACTGTGTTCTGTGGAGAGAAGAAAATGGAGGGCATAATCTTTTCTCTCAGACAGAGAGTACTCTTATTGGTGAGAAACAACCACCATAGCCTAGGAAAGTGTGCAATCAGAGTTTACCGCTGCTCTCTCGCTTTCTCTCTTTCTTTCATTCATTCATTCATTTATACAAATTTACCAAGTTCCTGCGATGTGCCAGGCAGTGTTCTAGTGTTGCAGATACAAAAATAAACAAATTCATGAATTCCCTCCCAGGGTAAATTTACATTCTAGTGAGGGAAAATGGACAAGTAAGTAAATATGCCATGTTGATGGTGGTGACTATCAGGGAGAATATTCAGGAAAATGGGGGAAGGGGTGGAGGTAGATGCCATTTAATATATGGTGGTCCAGGAAAGACATCTTTCATAACTAATGTGTCACCTGGGCAGAGATGTGGAGGGAGGAAACCATGCAGCTGTGGGCGTGGGGTGTCAGCAGAGTGAACAGCCCAGACAGAATCCTTGGGCAAGAGTTTGGTTGGCATGTCTTTGTGCACATACGGAAAACCATCATGGCCAAAGTGGATGGAGCAGGGGTGAAGAGGGATAGAAGATGACACGAGAGCTGTGTGGGTGTGTTTGGGTGGAACAGATCCTGGAGGGCACACAGGCCTTTATGAAACCTTGGGCTTTGAATTGGAGTGAGTGGGAAACCAGCAGAGGGCTCTGAGCAGTGGAGTTAGTTAAATGGCCCAATTTGGACTGTAGAAGGGTCACTGTGGTTGCTGTGTGGCGCTAAGCAGCACGGGTGCAGGGAGGAGGGGAGACTGGGTAAGAGGCTGCTTGTCACCTCAGTTCAAAAGTGCTGCCTCGGCCCAGCCGGGGCAGCCTGTAAGGAATGACTGGATTCTGGATCTATTTTGAGGGCAGACGCCACAGTACGATTCATGGCTGAATGTAGCATGTAAGGAAAAGGAAGTCAGCGGTGCCTTTGTTTTGTTTTTGTTTTTGTTTTTTTTTGTTTTTGTTTTTTTTACCTGAGGAACTAGAAAATGAAGGTAAATGGGAAAGACTGCCGATGACAAATGCTTAGAGGGGAAAAGTCAGGAGTTGTTTCGTATGTGTTCATTTGACGTGCCTGCTAGACGTGTAAGTGGAGAAGTGGGGGAGAAGGACTGATGAAGCAAACTACTGTTCATGGTTGAGAACCTACCTGTCACTGCAGAGGGCTCTTGAATTCATTGATAATGTTCGTACGCGGGACGTGAGCTTAGGGTAGCTCTTCAGTGTTCACGCCTGCACCTGCTGCCCCCGTCTGTGACACACGTGCTGGGGTGAGAACCCAGACCACTCAACTGAGGAGGGCAGAGCCCTGGCCCTGCTGCCTGTAGTGTCGGGTGTCCTTGACTTCAGAGAGGTGGTGGCACGCACGGCCAGAGAGATGTGAGTTCCCTTTCTCCAGGAAGCCTGCCTCCCTGCCAGTAGATTCCCATTCTCTGGACTTCGGGACTTCCAGCACACTTGAGTAAAATGCTTATTTCGTTGTGTGTCTCCCCCACCATACCATCAGCTTCCTAAGATTTTACAAAGTCCTTCACTTAGAAACAGTGCCCAGAGTCGCTGAGAAGTGCTAGACAGTATATGTATATACATACATGCATACACATGCACACACACGCATTCATGCTTTCTACTGTCATACTGCAAGCCCTTTGAAGCACTGCTCCTTGTATACTTTTATTAGCTCATGAAAACAGTATTATTTTGGCATTGTGGAGAGTGCCTGTTAGACAGTTTCCCGAGCAAGTGTGGACAGAGAAGAGTGAATAACATTAGATCAAAAGTCTAACAAAAGGAGAAGGAAGTTGGGCAACATTGGGGAAGTGGACATGAAATTGCCTGAGATGAACAGGAGACAAATGACAAAGCAAGCAAGGGAGAAAATAGCTGGTCACTTTGAAGTAAGTGCTCATACCTCCACAGCTACAGTTGGAATGTGTCAGAGACAGTGGGTGCTCTCGCGTGGCCACAGTGTTGTTGGACGGCAGTTTGGGTGTGTGTTAAACCAAACCAAACCTTGTCACAGTGTACATACCCATTGACCTATCAGTTCTACTTCTAGGAATTTATCCTAAGGAAACAAAAGTCCAAAAGTTTTATATCCGACTATGTTGATTGCACTATTGCTCATATTAGAGATAGAAGCAAAAAACTAATGTCTAAAAGGGGATTAAATAAATTATATTACACTCATGTAATGAAATACTATAAAGACATTAAAGAATTGTGGAAGAATATTTAAATAACCTCTTTAATTATTTATACTAAATTGTTAGGTTCATAAAAGTAGATTAAAAAAATTGTTCATGGTATTCGGTTTTGCTGGGACAATAAATGGTACTTGTTTTTTCTCTTTGGGTTTTTCTCTATTTTGGAATTTTCTGTATTGTAGCTACGCTTAGGGTAGCAGCTATAAAAAAACACAGTAAATACTATCTAAAGAAAATGGAAGAAACCTGATTTCTGACAAAAGTTGGGTACAATCAGTATTTAACTTTCGATTCAGTCTTACTTTGATGGCTGAACTTACATAAATTTTTGTTGTGTCTTATTACAAAATAGAATATATTTACTTTAGAAAATATAGCAAAGAAAATAGAAAATATCCATAGTCTTATCACTGTGAAACTATTGTAAACACATATGTGTTATGTGTTCTATGTTATGTGTGTGAGTGATAAATACACACACACAAACACATCTATATATCCAAATTGTATACATATAATTTAAAATAGGGATCAGCAAACTTTTTCTGTAAAGGGCCGGCATTAAATATATTAAACTTTTCAGGCTACGTACTGTTTCTGCTAAATATTTTTCTTTTTCTTTCCATCCCTTCCTACTCTTCCCTCCCTCCCTCTCTCCCTCCCTTCTTTCCTCCCTCCCAAGCCTTTAAAAGCATAAAAACTTCTGGGCTGGCCGAGTGGCTCAGTTGGTTAAGAGCTTGCTCAAGAATGTGAGCTCTGAGCAACAGGGTCGCCGGTTTGATTCCCACATGGGCCTGTGAGCCGTGCCCGAGCTGAGCTGCCACTGAGCTGCCAACAGGTGGCAGGATGTCTTAGCCTGGTGAGAGCACATGCTCCTAATAACAAGGTTGCCTGTCCGAAATGGTGGGCTATGTCCACCCACAACTAAAGACTGAACTCAGCCCCTTGAGCTGAGTGGCGCTACTGGACTTAGAGCTGAGCTTGCTGCACCCTCCACAACTAAGATTGAAGGACAACAACTTGGCTGTTCCCCTTCCCCAATTCCCCAACACTGTTCCCCTCCCCATTTCCCCAACATCGTTCCCCTCCCCTAATTCCCCAATAAAATCTTAGGGGAAAAAAACAAAAAACACTATTCTTAGCTTACAGGCCTTAAAAAAAGAGGCCAGGGCCAGGCTGTAATTTATCAACCTGATTTAAATTATTTATATAACACATTAATTTTAATGTACTTGATAGAGGAAGAGCACGTACCAGCTTTGCAAAGTATTATTTAGCAACAGTGAACTAAATTACTAATACGTAGTCAGAAACACGAGAGCTAATACGGCTGTTGCCCAAATTAGCCATCAGGTATTTCTGGATGTGTACTTCTGCCAGAGCTTTATCTGGATGATGGTAGAAGTGGTCCTTATGTGGTGCTGCCGAGAATGGGTCATTGGAAACATGTGAGAACTATATTGTAGCTTCCTTTCTTCACCCTTAAATAAGACTTTATTAAAAAATAATGTTGAACAATGTAGGTAATGATTGCTACTGTGTTTCCCCCAAAATAAGACCTAACTGGAAAATAAGCCCTAGCATGATTTTTCAGGATGCTCGTAATATAAGCCCTACCCCAAACATAAGCCCCAGTTAAGATTGTCAGCCAGACATGACTGTTTGAATAAATGTAGATTTTTGTACATGAATAAATGAATAAATGTAGATTGTTGGAGCAAAAATTAATATGAGACTCGGTCTTATTTTGGGGGGAACTCGGTATGTGTCACTCAGGTTAATTTGTATCATTTAAGTCATTGGGTAGATGGTGTGCCCTCCATCTGCAGAGCCTTGTGGCTAATTTAACGAAAGTATCGTATGTTGACTGAAATGCTATGAAGATTTTTCCATCAAACGAATAAAATAACCTGTGCATTTATCTTCTAGATATGCTCAGTGAAGGAGCGGCACGCCAGTGAGATGAGGGATTTGCCAAGTCGATATGTGGAAATAGGTATGCCTTCTATAAGTGTAAAACTTCAAGAGAGAGTCCATTTTGTTCAGGAGAAACCTGAGACCATGTTCTTCAGGCCTTACACTTGGGACCTTGATGAAATAGGTCAAGAAGCTTTTGTGTTCAGTTTTGAAACCTCACTGTAGAGGCCCTTTTTTCTCACTGTATTTCTGATTTGTACACAATACCTTTTTAGTTGGTTTTGAAGTTGAATAACCACAGGTTTGGATTCTGGTCCTGTTGTTTACCACCTGGATTTTGGACAAACTTCTATATGCCTCAATATTCTTATCTACAAAATGTGGGAAAAAATACCTGTCCCACATGTTTGTGAGAAGTCCAAGAGTTAATGGCTGCACAGCTCATGTCACAGTACCGACACCTAGGTGTGTTGACATGTATCTTCGGAATATTAATTTTCATCACCTCTGGTCTGGGCCACATTTCCATAATCCTTTTTCCGGATCACTGCAGCAGCCTCCTAAATGGCTTATCTTCTTCTACTGTGCATTATTGCAATCCAGTCTCTCCACTGCAGTCAAAATACAAATCAGATCATGTCACCATTCTTTAGTCCCTTCCCATTGACCTTAGGATAAAAACGAGGCCCCTGCATCTATGTTGGCCTTCACCAGCCTCCCTACCATCAGCTGAGCTTCTCCTTGCTCTCTGGGCAGCGGCCTCACTGGCCTTCTTTCGGCTCTCCGTGCTCCTTCTTCCCGTCTGTCTAGAACGCTCTTCTTGTGTCTTCATGTGATTGACCCTCAGTCATCCTTAATCATACCTCAGCTCAAGTACTGCTTACCTGGTAAAGCCCACCAGCCTTCCCTGACAGGCCACGCCCACCAGCCCTCCCTGACAGGCCACGCCCATCAGCCTTCCCTGACAGGCATATGAAAGGCCCTTTTCTAGCACTTGTGTCAGCTGCCCTGATTGTGTGTTATTCAATGCTTTCCTGTCTCTTCTGTGACACTATAACCTCCTTTAGAGTACACACTAGGTCTGCTTTTGCTCAGTGTTTGTATCTCAGGGACCTGGCACATAGTAGGTGTTAAATAATATTGTGTGGAGTGAATCAGTGACTCTGGGAAAGAACTGTTCAGGAGAAGTATGCCAAAGATGACATACCAGTACTTCTATGACTTAGTTTTATAACTTAGTTTAAAAGTTATTCAGATAGGGTGAAAATTGACTGACTTTTGTCAATTAAACAGATATAGTAAAAGCTATTTTTATATTATTTAGAACTGAAAGCAATAGGAGACACAGTTGTGTGGTAAGAAAACTTTTGCCATATTATAAGTCGGCTGAAAATTTCATTTACCCATTTGGATGATGGATGGGGAATATAAATTCGGTGGGTCATTATAACAAAGTGAAGCTGAGATAAATCATTTGTATGTGAGTATATTTCTAAAAACCAAGAAAGATGTATATTACCCAAATGACTAATATGGCTACAGCATTTAAACCTGGGATATTTTGTACTTGAAGTCAGAAGTTGGTGGTAGGGTTTTTTGCCTTAGGAGGATAAGTAAATACATAAATACATAGTTCAGATTGCTCAGAGTATGGACAGAATAGCTGTATGCAGAATATAATGGTACTGAGAAAAACTGAGGCACAAGATAATAGAAAAGACTGATAATTCGAAGATGAAGATAGTTATTTCATTACCTCTGTTATCTTTTCTGCTGCCCTTTGCCATCAGAAAAAAAACCTCTGAACATCTCAATGCATAGTGTACTCAGAGATAAGTATTAGAATATTTTAAATACAGATGAGTTAAAGAAAAAGGCAAGGACTCTGGGAATTTTTAAGGATGTAAAAATTTGCAGGAAGACATAAAAATGTAGCAAGTATCTTCTCTCTAGTTGATATTTGTTGCTAACATGCTAGTAGGGGCATTGTGTTATGCACGTTACCTGCACTAGTTCTCTGCACTCTCACAGCAGCCCTCTGAAGGGCAGGTGGTGTGCTTCTCATTCTGTAGATGAACAGTGGGAGCTCAGGAACATAAATAACTTCACTAAAATCTTACTACCATGGTGTTAAAATGGATAGAATCTTCTTGGTAATGTTACTTCAGCTTCCTGAGCCAGGCTTTTGTCACCTGTAAAATGGAGGTGATAATACTACCTTTGCAGATGGTGTGAGAATTAGACATGGCATAAGTAACTTATGTAACAGTGTTTGGCGTACAGTAGGTGCTCACTGAATCATGGTGGTTATTTTCACCATGCAAACTTTATTCCAGCTTGTGACTGCTCATAGCTGGCTCATAGTGGCTCTGGAGCCTGGGATCCCATTATTAAAGTGTAGTCCCATCTGTACTGCAATTTATGTGATATAGACCATAAGTGAGTACTAACAATATCACATTACTGACATTTTACTACAATGGTTAGTGGTTAAGTACCATCTTTTTCCCTCTTGAGAACAAACCTTTAATAATATTAACCATTTCCACAGCAGGAGGCAAAGTGGTTTAGATAAGAGTCCTTGACTAGGATAAAGGAGGAGAGAAATATTAGGTCTGGATTACAATTCGCTTTTGGCCTTGAATAGTGTGATCCAGTGTTCTTTAGTAAATGAAGGGAAAACAACACTGAGATTCAAGAAGTATCTGGCTATACATTTTTTAGAAGCTAAATGTTTATAACTTTTCCTTGTAAGTCAGACTCTCAAAAACAACACAAAAGTTATTCCTCTCAATGGGATATTAATTTATTTTTGTAAATGAATAATAATGATCATGAAAATTAAGCTTACTGTTCAGTCACCAACCTGTGAAGACGTTCTCTGTACATACAGCTTTTTGGATGTCATTTATTCCTCCAAATTACCTTGCTTATAAGTAGGATGTAGTCCTTGCCTGCCCTACTTAGTTTCACTTCACTTGGATCTCCTGTGTTCCCATAGGACTCCCGAATCCTCTGGCGCTTTTCACCATAGCCTTACAGGGTCTTTATGGAATTATAGCTGGAGAGCTGCTTTTATGTTATTGGGAAATGAAGCCAATATTCGTATGTCATTTTCTGGGTGTCTGCTTCCCCAGGTGGATGACTTGATTAACTTCCTGGTCTTGATTTCATACAGAAGTTTTTTAAAAAGAGAGAGAGAGAGAAACTGTGAGAATCTATGTATAATTCAGGAAGAAGGAGGGGGAAGAGATTAGAAGGGACATTTTTCATTTTAAGCAGTGTCAGTTGGTCTTATGCTATGACGCTTAGAGTTTAGCATATTGTTCCATTTTCAGCCTCTTGATTGGGAAATCAGTGGCCTGGAAATGGAAGATCTATGAGATAAAGATCTTTCTTAGATCTAAGTGTCACCTGTTATCATTCTGAGCCAGACATGCAGGTTCCAGCGGTGGGACAGATGTGTGCATGCAAGTGACATGGTCCATTTCGTAGTTCTAAGTCTCACCAGAAATCAGAACAGCACTGGTATCATTCAGTGTTTTGGTTAATGATCTAGCTGTGTGTGGTTTTCTGTTCTGTTCTAATTCAGTTTGACTCTCTATAATCTATTAATTTTTCTGTTCTGCATTGAATTTTTTTCTCAACATTTTATTATGAAAACTTTAAAGCATACAAAAAAGTAAAGCACTTTACAGTGAGCACCTATATACTTACCTCATAGATTCTGAAATTAAGATTTCACTATACTTGCTTATTACATGTCTTCTATCCATTCCTCCTCAAAGTAAGAACTCCTTCCCACTCAGTGCTGGAGACTCAAATGTTTGTCATTGGATGTGGAATTAATAATTGTTTTCTGTAGTAAGTAGTGGTAAGAAGCCTGAGTCACCTGAAATAACAAGTATATTCTATTCCCTTTATAAGAACATCCGCCAGGCACATGCTAAATACATTAAAAACAGAATTTCATTTAATCTTCACAGTGATCCCCATAGGTAGGGACTGCTTTCCCATTTTATAGGTAAGGAAGCTAAAGTTTAGCAGGCAACCTGCTCAAGAGGATCACATTCATAAGCAAAGAAGGCAGTGTTTGAGCTCAGATTTGCCTAGTTTCAAAGCTGCTACTCATGACCTCTGTGCCCTGCCTTCTTCCCATGCGTTCCTTCTGCCTAAGCCCTGGCCCTTGTGTGCAATCAGAGGGACTAATGAGAAGGACAGAGACTTGCTCTGGCATTTAAATAAAAACCATTGGGTAGAAATTCTCTAGAATCCAGAGACCCCTTTTCATATACCAGTGATGTCTGCTCACCTCTTCTTCAAGTAGCCAGGTGCCATGGAAATGCAGTGGATTTGTTCTTTTATTTTGGTCCAGAGAAGTGCCCAATGCGGACGAGTAAAACTTGCATTTCCTGTTGTTTTATCCTGGGACTGACAGCCCTTCTTTGTTTCTCCTCCATACTGTTGGGGAATAAACATCATTGCCTTGGATGGCGATCAAGACTTTCTAAGGAAAGGACCAAATCCAGATGCTGTTCTTTCCTTTGGAAAAGAAGAAAAACTCTCGCTGCTATTTTTTAGTGTTTGACTTAAATGTAGTTGATGCATCGAGGTAGTTTGGGGGGGGTTTTTCGCCTCTGAAATTGTTTATTTATTTTTAAATCTTATTTTATTCTGGTTAGAACACTTAACATGCGATCTACCCTCTTAACACATTTTTAAATGTAGTTTGCTACGGGCACAGTGGTGTTCGGCGGATCTCTAGAATGCACTCACCTTGCTTCACTCAAACTTTATGCCCGTCAATCAGCAACTCCCCATTTTCCACTCCCCTCAGCCCTTGGCAATCACCATTCTACTCTCTGATTCTGTGAATTTCACTATTTTAGGTCCCTCCTATTGGTGGAATCAGGCAGGATTTGTCTTTCTGTGCAGTCACTCAGCACAGTGTTGTCATTCATCCATATTGTTGCATATTGCAGAGTTTTCTTCTTTTTTTAAAGCTGGATAATGTTTCATTTATGTATCCACCACATTTTCTTTCTCCAGTCCTCTGTCAATGGACATTTAGGTTATTTC